CCCCGGGGCTGAGCTCCCCTCACTCACACGGTTCCCCCCCGCCATTTTAATCAGTGACTAGTCGAGCTGTCAGCGTGGCTCACCCTTCTCCAGTAACAGGGCCAGCCTTGATGCCCCATTGCTGTATCTGCCTCTCACAGTCCTGTGTGTCCCATAGCCCTAGACCAGGGGTAGGCAACCTATGGCACGGGTGCCGAAGGCGGCATGCGAGCTGATTTTCAGTGGCACTCACACTGCCTGGGTCCTGGCCACCGGTCCGGGAGGCTCTGCAATTTAATTTAATTTTAAATGAAGCTTCTTAAACATTTTAAAAACCTTATTTACTTTACATACAACAATAGTTGAGTTATATATTATAGACTTACAGAAAGAGACCTTCTAAAAAGGTTAAAATGTATGACTGGCATGCGAAACCTTACATTAGAGTGAATAAATGAAGACTCGGCACACCACGTCTGAAAGGTTGCCGACCCCTGGTCTAGAGCGACCGCCTTGGGTTGTACTACAGGGCTACGGTCTTCTCCTTCATATCCCTCCTGCAGACCCATTTCTGCTGCTGTGCTCCCAAGAAATTAGGCACTAATAATTGGGAGGATTCGAGGCATTTGGGAGTCAGCCATAAATCTCATACAACATGCATGCATTGTTTTATTCTCTCCCCTTCTTCAGATGTTGCTTTCTTCTTGAAGTTAAGCTTTTCAGGACAGAGACTGCCTTCCTATGTGGTTGTACCGCACCTAGCACATTTTACCTGCAATTGCAGTATAAATAACAGGAGACTATCTAAAATGGTATCAGCCTTTCATTGCAATTTACTGCCCTACATACTGTATGTTCCTGAAAACATTCACTATTGCATTCCCTGATTAAACCTTGTCTCCTTGATTTCCATGGGTCAAAACAACATTTTTTCCCATTGATAAGAATTTTAGGGAAATGTACATCATTGGGCTCTTTGTGAGACAATATTAGGCCTTGTCTGGGCTAGGATTAAGGTTTGGTGCTACCCATATTAGCAAATGTGTTGACCAGTGTGTTTTAAATCATGTTAAACTTGTGGAGTTAAAGTCTGGAAAGATCCCTAGGCTTTAACTCAGCCAGTTTTGCCTGTGTTAAAGGTAGTGTGCCTTGTCTAGACTAGACTTAAAATGTGTTTCTTAGTCTGTGTTAAGATGTGCTTTAACATCACAGCCTTAACTCCTAGTTTAGATAAGGCCTTATTTTTTCTGATACATTTGTAGATACATGTGATGTATTCAGAACTCTTACAGTAGCATTTCACTCATATTCAGAATATTTAACATTGCTGGGTTAAGAACCTTCTAAAAGCTGCCCTGTTTCTTTAAGAGAAGTCTTTGGAAGGGACATACCCATAGCAAAACTCTCTTAAACTTCCATGGATTGGTTATCCTCTCATGACTGGCAAGTCTAGAGCATTGTCTCTGTTTCTAATTGGTTGGTCTTTTTATCCATCTTTCACCCTATTCTGAGCTTTGTGGATATCAGGCTACTTTGAGAGAAGCATGAAAGAGATTTTTCATGGTGCCATGAATTTTGACTTCTTTGTGATTAACATACTGTATAAATAAATGTACACAAGGCTAAAGATTTACACTGATGTTGAAAGTGCAACTCAACAGCAGCATTATATGTTTGAACGGAACAGAAGTGAGAAACTAAGACAACTCAAAAAAGAATGTAAGTGGATAATTAATTTACACTCTCAAGTGCATTTTTCCTTCTAGGAAGTTTGTTGGCTTTCTTATTCATTTTACTGGAGAGTAGTTACCTAATGAATGTGACCAGAAAGTCAGTGTGAATTTTAAAAAGGGTAATGATGAATTAAGTACATTAATTGAAGGAATATCTCAATCATCCTTAGCAAAATGAGTTGTGACTAACCAGGGAAGTTGGGAGGTACAGCAAAACAGATATTCTCTTAAGGGCCAGTTGAACAATTTTGTGAATCCTCAGTAAAGTTATTTTTGGGGAGCATCCCCTCAATTTTTCCTTCTCCCTTTCATCTTCTTCCTATCTTCCTTTTCCCTCATGCTCAGGAGGGAAAATGTATAATAGACATTCGCTCTTTTCCCAACTAATCAAGGTAGTTACACAGCATCAGACTGTAGAGCCTTATATTAAATTTGGGATTGTCCCTACACTGTTCCACCCTGCCCCCTGCTGAATAGAAGTCCCATTGGCTGTGTGTTTCTTGGGTTTCAAAAATCTACCTTTAATCCTTCTAACAAATCAGTTATTTAAAAAAATAGTTGTTACAGGAAATTGGGAGTACAAATTATTTAGTGGATATTGAAAGCATGCACGGTCATGCCACTTTGAGAGAATAGTTAATTTTCCAACATTAAAAATGGAAATGCCTTTTACAGAATATCCTGCTCATATGATCCACATTTATTTTAAAAAAGGATGGAAAGTATAATCGCACTGAGACATTTCAGTCTTCTTCCCTTTCTCTCTTTCTTTGTTGTTGTGTTTTCTTCTTTTTTCACATGCACCTTTTTTATGGCACTGGTCACAGCATGCCAGGAGGGGAATGCATAAATGTTGAGAGTAGGGAAAACCAGGGTAAAATAAAGCAAATATTATCCGTTTCAGATTGGAATAATAGTGTGATGTAAAAGGCATGTTCTAAAGAAGCCTGTAGTGATGTTATGAAGAAAGGATGCTACTCTAGCAGAGTATATTGCCAGTGAAAATTAATGTTTGATCAAATAAGACTTGCTTTTGAAAGATCTACACATACATATTTTTATTCAATAACACCCAGTCTTGAGAAGTGCTGAATGTTCTCGGATTCCAATGGGATTTAAAGAGGAGTTGATGGCAATTAGCATCTCTCTGGCAGTGCTCAGTACCTTGCAGGATTGAGTTTTATAGTTGCCTTTTTTAAATTATATTTCATTTCTTATATAGATTTTCATATAAGAAGCAGAACTACTACAGCCTCCTGAGCAGAAGCTTCTGCAGTGTGAACAAAAGGCAAAGATGCACAGTAGCTGTCATGAAGTAAGAGCGCTGTATCTGACATAGTTTGTATCAAATCACTTGCTTTCACATCCCATGCATTTCACAGCAGCAAAGGCAAACACTGTACATTTGACTTGAGCAGTGTAGTGTCTGGATTTCAGTGGTAATGGTAATTTTTAGGTCAAGAAGTAATGGTGAGTGGGAAAGGTGGGATATTAGGTGCTCATGGAAGTATAGCACAGTAGTTGGGATCAAGGGTGGGATTTTGAGAAGCACCCAGCAATGATCTAACTCTGCTTCCATTTAAGTCAATGGTAAAACTCCTGTCTACTTGAATGAGAGACAAGTTAACCCAATGCTGAGCATTTTAAAATATCCTACCCTTGGTCATTTTCACTGCCTAAGGGGGTCTAGGGTTTTGCCATGGACTTTACTGGTAGAATGATTGACAGGGCCAGCTTCAGCTTTTTTGCCACCCCAAGTGGCGAAGCGGGGGGAAAAAAAAAGATGAAGCCGTGATTGGCAGCACTTCGGTGGCAGCTCTACTGCACCACTTCATTCTTCAGTGGCAATTCGGCGGCGGGTCCGCCGCCGAATTGCCGCCGAAGACCCAGACGTGCCGCCCCTTTCCATTGGCCGCCCCAAGCACCTGCTTCCTTTGCTGGTGCCTGGAGCCGGCCCTGATGATTGACCCCAAAATAATTAAATGACTTGGGATACAGTGTTAGCTTAAAGGTGTTATGGGCATGACTTTTGAGGATTGTTTGGTAATATTCAGGTAGAGAATCCGAAAACCAAGGTGCCAAGTTTAAAGATGCTGAATAACATGATAATAAAAGCTTTGTTAATCAAAATAAACTATTACCTTGATTCTTCTCTTATTTGCACTGGTGTAAATCAGGAGTAATTTAACTGACACACGGAGTTACACTGGTGTAATTGTGGTACAAGTGAGAGGAGATTGCAACACTACAGTCTTAGGTGAAATGTTTCTGTTTTGTTAAACCTCATTGTTGGGTGGGTTCTGGTTACTTTTGCCATTTACCAGTCTAAAGGCTACAGTTGTACAATTTGTTAAAGGAATGCTATGAAGTTAAAAAAAACTTCTTTACAATTCCTTACCTATGTTACTAATAAAACATGAGATTATCAATAAACATACAACTGATAATCCTCTTCCTTTGTGTCTTCCACTATGTTCACCTTTCAAACATTTGCTATTATTTGACCTCACATTACCCACATATGGCCAGTCTAATTAGAATTCAGAATAACAGAGTCTTTTGATTAATGTAGAACAGTGTTTCCCAAACTTGGGACGCCGCTTGTTTAGGGAAAGCCCCTGTCGGGCCGGGCCGGTTTGTTTGCCTGCCACGTCCGCAGGTCCAGCCGATCGTGGCTCCCACTGGCCACGGTTCGCTGCTGCAGGCCAATGGGAGCTGCTGGAAGCGCCGGCCAGTACGTCCTTCGGCCCGCGCCACTTCCAGCAGCTCCCATTGGCCTGGAGCAGCGAACTGCGGCCAGTGGGAGCCGCGATCGGCCGGACCTGCAGACGCGGCAGGTAAACAAACCGGCCCGGCCCGCCATGGTCTTTTCCTACACAAGCAGCGTCCCAAGTTTGGGGAACACTGATGTAGAACATGAATGGAACGTTATACTCCACTTTCAGACAAACAGAGAAGTCAGCAGCCAAATACTGAAGTAGTCACAATACGGGTTGGGTTTGAACATTGTCAGTCTAGGCTTGATATTGAGAAGTGCTGCACACCAAGAGGTCCATTTGAATTCAATGGAACCTGGAGGAGCTCAGCACCTGTGCAATTCATGTTCCCTGTAATTTAGGCTTCTTAAACAACAGAGTGTTCTTTTTCTGTTAGTATAACTAGGCCCTCTCGGAGCTCATGAGGTGTATAGCTCTGGCAAGAATTTGCTATGGAGGCCATCACTGGAAAATGGCAGAAGCTCATGTTAATTTGGCTGAGGGATACCACCAGCTTAAAGGTGAGTTTACAAAATTCAGAGCTCACTATTTTAGGACCAAATCCTCCAGTCCTTTCACAGTCAAAGCTCTCAATGACTTCAGCAAGGATTGCAAGATTTTGCCCTGAGCTTTTCATAGAATGTTAGGGTTGGATGGGACCTTAGGAGATCATCTAGTCCAACCCCCTGCTTAAAGCAGAATCAATCCCCAACTGGCCCCCTCAAGGATTGAACTCTCAACCCTGGGTTTAGCAGGCCAATGCGCAAACCACTGAGCTATCCCTCCCCCCTTTTCAAAAGGATGGTTTATGCTTATCAAGTCAATGAAACAGAAGTAAAGCCATTTTAATTTAAAAAGAAATAAAAGGATGAGCTAAAGAACACACTGATTTACTGGCTAAAGCTGTTAGTATATCTTTTCTCTCTGGAATCTTCTGTAACTAAAGAATTTTCCAAAGTATGTGTGCCAAAGAATTTTCATAGCAGAAATACTGTGTTGAAAAGAGAAGGTGTATGAAGATTCAGAATTTATCACACTAAGGTAAAATCATTTGGAAAGAATACTCAGCAATAACAACTTTTCATCCTCCCAAAATGTGAGGATCCTAAGAAGAAAATAGGCTTATTAAAGGAGGTATAATGGGGAATTTTTGAGACCAAATCTGGGACATCTGTGAAAACTGTAAATGTTAAAGTAATCCTGCCTGTGGCGTTTCCTTTTTGAAAATGCTTTTGAATATGTATGGTTCATACAAGTTCAGTTTACAGCTAAGTCCAAGATAACTGTTTACTTTACCCCTTACAAATTTCTAAGTAACTTTACAAATATGTGTGTGGTGATCTGTCTCCTGCAATGTGTTCTTCACGAACACGAGAAAACTTTTCAGGTTCAATCCATGCTTGAATACCTAGGAATCTTCAGAATTAATCTTGCTTTTCAGTTAAATATAGAAGCCTTGGGAGAGGCAAGGGATCATGGGAATTGTGGGTTATCATGTTGTCCGTATTCCTTAACAAAGAGCCATGTCTATGCTTTTATGTTGAGTTTCTCTAAACATCAGTTGAATAAGATAACAAATCAGACATGTCAGGTTAATCAGTGAACAAGACTTACAATGTTTAAGCATGCATAAGAATCTTTATAATTATGTATATCACAATACGCAGTAATGTTGATGAGCATTTGGCCAGGTCACTGCTTGAATGAGAGAACTTTAAGGAGCTGCAAGAAGTGGTGTTGGTGATTCAGTAAATGTCACTCTTTCTTCCCTCCGAATCTGTATGAAACCAGTGCCAAAGCACAGTATTAATGGGTGTTGTGCTGCTGGAGGTGCCAGCTTTTAGATTAGATGTAAACTTAAGTCCCAAGAACTCACTGAAGTCCCATGACCAGGTTCTGATTAGTATTTCTGTTGTCTCCTCTTTTTGAGATGATTTATTTGTACCTTGCCATGGTTTTTGCACTTGTTCCTCTGAATTATTTCTCCTTTTTGTTTGAAAAATTCAGTAAATTAATAAATCCTCCTGGCACTTCTCTTAAGAACTGGGGTGTTATCCTCCATGTCCTGGTTAAGTTCCAACTTGGACAAAATTCACCCAGTCAGTTTCAAGTGGCTACAGTGTTCTTTATTTTTCTACTTACAGAACATGTGTGGATGCATTTCAGTGATGAGTAAAATGATCCCTCTAAATACACTGGATGCAGTTCTGCAAGGTGTTATACTCCCTCATATTTCAATGGAAACTGGGATGGATCTCTGTACCTTGCAGGGTCAGCTCCATAGTCCGTAGTTCTGTAGAGCACTTTAAGGCATCCAAACAATACTATATAAATCTGCTTTATTATATGATTATTAAAATAAAACCAATTAATGCATTTTAGGATTTTGTTTTTAGTTACATTTGCAATAGACTGTTTACTAAATAAGAAACATTGGCAACTCTTTTGACCAGTTGTTTGCATTAATTGAAATTAGCTTGAGTTCTCCAATTCCATCATGCATTCTGTTTCCTTTATCTTTAAAAAGAAATGTGGCTTGCGTCAGAGGACTTCAGTAATGGATCTGTGAGGATAAAAAATTGAATATATTTTGGTTTTTACAGACATGAATCTTGATTTTCAGGTAGATTGAATGTAATCCCATTGTTGTTGCCCAAATCTCTTGGTTTAGCTCTGCCTCTGGCTGGAAAACCTGAATATACTTTCTAGATTAAATTAAGCCAAAGCCTTCCAACAGGAGAAGGAAACATCGTAATCCTCAGCATACATGTAGAAGTAGTTATGTTTTCCTCATGAGAATCTAAAAGCTGAATCACCCACAGAAGACTTTTTTTTTTTTCTCATTTATGTTCACAGGATTTTCACTACAAGCACAGCAACATGCAGAAAAAGCCAAAGAAATTCTTCTTGCCAGCTCACCTATCCCTTCTTCTGATTCTGAACAAAGAATGGACATTCTTAAGTGCTCAGTTGCCATTTTTCATACATTAGGAAGATCATTAACTGCTCTTCACAAATATCCTTTCTCAGTTTTATTTGTTACTTGCAATTGGTTCTAGAAGTTTATTTCAGATAAATAGATTGGATCTGTTGAAATGATATGAACACCGACAAATGTACAGTGTTAATTTCTAGAATTGTCTATTGAAACATCCAATTGGAACCTCGTCGCCCTTAAAAAAAGCATATGTCCCCCCATATTCATGTTGTAATGCCAATAACAGTATTCCTTAGAGTGGTTAATAACTCTTGTGTATTTTTGCCAGAATGGACCTTAATCTCCAGGGAGTGGCCTGCATCTTTACTATCGTTGTTTAAATAACAGCGGTTACATCACTTCTGTTACTGTCACTTCAGTCCTATCATTATAAGTATCCGAGAAATGAAAACCTAGGTCCAAAATACAAACTGATTAGGTACATAGTAGACAGCAGATCCCACAGATTGAAATGTACAGTGAGAGCTCAAGACAAAATCCAAGTCTTTAGCCAGGAGATTGGAGGTGGTTAGGCCATTCATAAGGTCTAAAGCAAAATGTGGGTGGAAGAAATAAGGTGTTTCTGCCCTCTCCACCAGAGTAAAGAATTGTTAAGTTTGTAGAGCACTGACGCTGTCTGGCAGCTTTATAATTAAGAGATCCACTGACAGCATACCAAAGGTGCTGGATTTGTTGTCCTCACACACATTTTGTCATATGTTGCCTCTTCTCACCGTTGTGAGCAATAAAGTATGAAAGGGGACAAGATTCTTACTCTCTGGTCTTTTCAGAGAACAAATTCTTGTCTATTTCCTTTCTCTTTTTATAAGAACAAAGTAGCTAGGGAGAGCAGAGGTATGATAAAACATTTATACCCACTCATGGTCATGAATACGGATGCATCCACAGTGACGAAAAGTCAACACACAGAACTGAGATTGGTCACCCAGAACTGATATTCAGGGCCACCCAGAGGATTTAGGGGGCCTGGGGTCTTCGACGGCAGGGGGCTCCCGCCACCGAAGACCCGGCACTTCAGCGGCGGGTCCCGGGGCGGAAGGACCCCCCGCCGTGGGTCTTCAGGGCACTTCGGCAGCGGGTCCCGGGGCGGAAGGAACCCCCGCCGCGGGTCTTCAGGGCATTTCGTCGTAGGGTCCCGGAGCAGAAGGACCCCTCGCTGCCGAACTGCCGCTGAAGACCCGGAGCGGAAGAAGCTCCGGGGGCCCGGGCCCCGCGAGAGTTTTCCGGGGCCCCCGGAGCGAGTGAAGGACCCTACTCCAGGGGCCCCGAAAAAGTCTCGTGGGGGCCCAGGGCCTGGGGCAAAATGCCCCACTTGCCCCCCCCCCCCCCCGGGCGGCCCTGCTGATATTTCTATTAATTGTAAAACTGAAAGTTTTTTAGACATTAATTAAACCTCATAACACTCTGTTAGGTTGAGCAACCAATCTGACAGAGGGGTAAACAGACACAGACTGGTTCAGTTTATTTTCAAAGGTCACACAAAGTTGCATGGCAAAACATAGTCGGAATCAGGAGTCATGAATCCTACCTCTCCTCCAACGTCTGCACACTAGGTAAGGGACAACATCTCACTATATATTTTAACACTGTTGCAGCCTCACTGACAGTTTTCTCCCTTTCAGGAGGATATAGTAACTCAAAAGAAATTAGTTTTAGAAAGGCTTGCATTTTGAATCAACTTTTAAGTTGTTGTGAGTTCATGTGGATGTCTGGATATTTTAAAAGAGATGCTCAAATGCATTGTATTTTCCAAAACAAACATTTGCAGTACACTTGACATTCTTAATTTGCAGCATCTCACATGACACAAATTAAATCACAAAAGTGCCCTATACCTTTTTTCCGATTTTCCAAAGTATGCCAATTCTTTTAATAACCTACATGAAGTGAGTGCAGTTATCCTTAGCACTACTCAGATTGAAAGATTCAGAGAGAAATTTAATAAAAGCTCAGAAACTTTCAGAGGAACTGCTACAAAATGATCACATGCCACAGGACAAATGGATGGAAATCAAAGCAGGAGGAAGGGCGGCCAGCATGTCCCTCGGCCCGTGCCGCTTCCCGCAGCCCCCATTGGCCTGGAGCAGCGACCCGCGGCCAGTCGGAGCCGCGATCGGCCGAACCTGCGGACGCCGCAGGTAAACAAACCGGCCCAGCCCACCAGGGGCTTTCCCTGAACAAGTGGCGGCCCTAGTTTGAGAACCACTGCAATAGAGGGTTTGAAAGTGGTTTTATAAATCTGCCGTTTCGTACATTCACTAAGGGGGAGGTCCTACTAGTAGTTTTACAATTTACTCTTCACTTTGAATGCAAAGATGAATGTATACGACTCCCTTCAGAGACCATCCATACTGCTTCTTAATTAGCACAAGGGTCGCTATGGAATTATGTGAGCTGTTCCACCCATTTCTTGCCAAAACAGGACCAACCTGGGATTTGAAATTCTCCCACATCCTACAGCTATATCACTGGCCCACCGCTACCTACCCCTTTTTAAATGATGTTATGGTGTCCCATTCAGCCTGGATGGGCTTTCATGGTCTTCCCTGAGCAATCGGTCATAGGTTTATGATGAAGTTATTTCTTCACTTGAAGCCCTGCCAAAGCAGTGACTCAGCAGTGTGAATTCATTGGCTGGAGGGCCCTGCGGCCTCCATGATCTTTCACCCTGAATTCTATTCCATCTGCTGTTTTGGTTACAGTAGCAACATGGCTGAAAGATGAGATTAGGAATTTTTTTCTTGCTTGATACTATCATGGTCTCTTCAGTTTATGTCACCAGACTCTCTGTGCAGTGCTCATATATCTGTGCTTGACAGCTGATCTTTCAAGGCTTGACCCTGCATACCACAGAAGTGACATGTTGCTTTTATAATCACAAGGTTAAAAATGATGAGCAGGACAGGGAGTGCTGGGAACCTGATCTTGCATTAAGGAAAGTGCTGCTGTGTAGCTGCTAAGTTACTCCTGTCCAATAGCAAGAGGCCGGCTAAGAGGGGAGTTTATTGCTAAGAAATCATCATCTCGCTGCCTACACCCTGCCTCTTGAGAGGGGGCTGGAGACTTACTTCTGCTTGGAGCAGAGCATTATGCCTCCTAGTGTGTAACCTTATTTGTGGCCACACATACCAATTACACTTGCATTGAAGTGCAGCAACTTTGCAGGAGAAGACCTATGTGTTCTCCAGTCACCACTGGCCTGGAAAGTAGAGCTCCACCAACTAGTCTATTATTTGAGCTCCACCAACTAGTCTAAATTCTGTCCCTGGAGTTAATTGGCATAATTCCATTGACTAGAATTGCACGTTCTTATACCAGAGCTAAATATGGCCCCAGTCAGATGCCTGACTGATGATGTATGGTACTGTGTTTCCAGGCAAGTTGCACAAGCTTGGAAAGATGCAGGTAGTGGCTTCTGTAATCTAATAGTAAAGCCTTCTGTAGTCATCATAAGCTGTCTTGCTTAGATAGGGCCAGATATAAACATGAAGTCATGATAATGGTTTTAAGGTTTTGTTGTTATTGTCGCAAGATTTGTAGCTCTCAGTTTTGCAGATTCAGGGGATTCAGATACTTCATCTGAACTTTTGGGTTTAGAGCTGAACCTGCACAATTTGAATCTCTTGAGGCTCCGCAATCACTAGTTTTGATGGATAAGCCTTTTCCATCCAATATTGTGGATACTGCTCATGTTGAAACACATTCACTAATTGCACTTTGTAAATTTGACTTTGAAATTCAAAAACATTCATTCCACAGTCAAAGGCCTGTCTTGTCAGTAGTGGAGTCAACAACGTTAGTTTTGGTGACATGTCACAGAAAAATGAATTGGTTTCTCTTTTAGTGGCAATTAAAAATAATATATTCTGAGCTAATTCACATTTTAAACCTTGTGCTCACACCGAAAAGTAGGTTTTCTTGGACACAGTTCTCTTTTGAGAAGTACATAAGGATGGTCCCACTGGGATTTGGTGGAGCCTCTTCCCAGGAGGGGAAGCACTTGATGGTGGTCTGTGGAGAGCTAGTGGGTAAATAGTTCTCTTTTCCAACTGCTAAATCTGATTATATGAATCTAAAAATACATTAAATACTTTCATAATATTTTCCAAATGACCAATTGCTCTAGTTGCCACAGGGGTGTTATATGATTGCAAATGGGAGGAGGGGGTGATCCTTTGGATCACTAACAGCAAGCGGGACATACATGAGATAATCTTTCAGTTAAGTAATATTGCCAACCACAAACATTCCAAAATCATGGGTCAGGCTCCCAAAATCATGAGATTTTTAAAATAATGGGTGAAATCCTGGTCTCATTGCTGTTAGTGGTAAAGCTCCCTTTGATTTCTATGGAGGCAGGATTTCATCCAGTAAATTTGGGGCTCTTTATTTGCCTTCTGCTTTTTGAGCCTATAGGGTTCATGATTTCAACTTTTTCTTCCACAACCGTTACAATTTTCTTTTAATAAAAACTGATATCTCAAGTAATCACCTGATTCCACAAGCTGGAGCTTTAAAAAGATCCTCAAAATATCACAAGAATCACAATAAAAGCACAAGTGTTGGCAACACTGATTAAGATGTCGTGTACACTATGAAAAAATTTGCTGACCTCTGCCATAGATTCTAGGGACCCAATGCAGGAAAACATATCTATTTAGGAAGTTTAAATTTAAGCAGCTTTACTTTCTGTTTTCCTCATTATATTTTGTACTTTCAATCTTTCCAAATTTGTGTTAAAAGAAATGGAAAAGAGCTAGTTCATCCTCTGGCCTGGGCTTTGATTGTTCCCTACAACGTCCAGTGTTTGCTACTGCTTCATCCAGTCTCAGTTTAAATTACTGCAGCCAATTGGGTTGCCACACCATTTCCACTGGGAGAGATACTGTTCCACAGTCTGCTCAGTATCAAAATTAAGACATTTTTACCACATATGCCATCCAGATTTACCTTCGCTTAAAATTTCATCTTTATTGTTTCTACTTATTCCTATCTTTTGCAACATCCTAATTAAGGCCTTTCCTTTTTTGATGTTCACACCTTTCACAGAATCGTAGAAATGTAGGTCTGGAAGGGACCTCAAGAGGTCATTTACTCCAGCCCACTCTGCTGAGGCAGGCAGGCAAGGACACTTACACCGAGGACAATACCAAAATGTTAAGATCTTTATTAAAATGAATGAAAGAATAAGCAAAGATATAAAACACAGAGTCACAAAGAGGTAATACAATTCTATGGCCCCTGGTGGTAACATCTCTGTTCTAAAAGACTACTTAAACTAGCATACTCACACCTTTCCCTGAAGACCTGGTAGTTGGAGACAGAGGACCAGCCTCATCTCTGGCAGGCCCGATGAATTCGATGGTCCAGGCTCTCCAAATTGCTAGGGATCAGATTCGAGTGCTGAGTAGCTGAATAGCGAAGCTGAGCTGATAGCTTGATAGAAGATAGGAAAGAGCGACCCCCCCCCCATAGTTGTTTGCCCTCTTATTGGGTTCTGGCACTGCTTTAATCAGGGCACAACCTACCATGCTGAAATCTTATTTCCTCACCCAGATAAATCTTTGGGTACACTTACTCTATAGGCTAACATATATTCATATGTATTAATATCGATTATCTCATCCCCAAAACCGTTACCTTTGGCCTAAATCATGACTTCCATGTTCTGTGGTGTACCCTGCAGTTACCAATCTGTTCCAGAGTTATGGTAAACACATTCAGTTCTTTGTTCAGTACCCCAAAGTCAAAAGGGGTAACTGGTAGGCCATTTATCTATGGCAAAGGTTACAAACACTTATGCTAACTTGCTCTAGGTCAGTGTTTCCCAAACTTGGGACGCCGCTTGTGTAGGGAAAGCCCCTGGTGGGCCGGGCCGGTTTGTTTACCTGCCGCGTCCGCAGGTCCGGCCGATCGCGGCTCCCACTGCCCGCGGTTCGCTGCTCCAGGCCAATGGGAGCTGCGGGAAGCGGCGCGGGCCAAGGG